CGCCCCTGACAGGACGGAGCTCGACCACAACCCGCACTCACAGCGTCTCCAGGCTGTGCAGGCCCTCGAAGCTGTGGGTCCCCAGACGCTGGATTCGGTTGTTATGAAGATGCCTGTGTGGGAAGGAAAGACGGGTCAGCCGGGTGCCCGCAGCACCGAGCCCGGGGGAGGAGGGAAGGGGCAGACGGCGGCTTGAGGAGGAGGCTGAAGTGTGGACAGAATGACCCCACTGGTCCAGCCCTTGACTCCAGGGACAAAGTGATTGGCGAAGCCCGACTTCGGAAGGCACAGTCTCCAAGGCTGGACGGACCAGGGGCTGCCCTGCTTAACTGGAGAGGAGCGTCCGGCCGCGGCCGATACGGGCTCCCACTACCTTCTCAGAGAGGCCTGATTGGCAGGGGCTGAGGGGGCTCTGGTCTGAGGCTCCCCAGGACCCAGCCCGCATGATGCAGTGGCCCGGCACACCGATGGGAACCAACAGCCAACCACTGCAGACAACATATAATTAAGGGCTAAGTGTTCTGTTATAGCTGGGAGGCTGCAGACAAGCTCAGTGGTGGGGGGGGACTGGTGAGCCCAGAGCAGTCAGGGAGGGCTTCATGGAGGTGGTGACCCAGAGCAGTCAGAGAGGGCTTTACAGAGTGTCTATCATTTTTTTAAAAAACATATTTTTACTGATTTCAGAGAGGAAGGGAGAAGGAGAGAGAGCTAGAAACATCAATGATAAGAGAGAATCATGGATTGGCTGCCTCCCGCACAGGGGATGGAGCCTGCAACCCGGGCATGTGCCCTGCCTGGGACTTGAACCCTGACCTCCTGGTTCATAGGTCGACCACTGAGCCACGCCGGCCGGGCCCTGGTGTCTATGATACCTGCTGGGACTCTTGTTCTCTTCGCTACACAGTCTTTGACACCTGCCCAGCCCTGCAGGACCCCCTCAGGCGCTGCTGCTGGTCAGCCCTTGGGACTGTCCCAGGCCCTCACTTCCCGGCCCCCTGACCCCCTCCCTGGGGATGCGGCCGGAGTAGCCCTGAAGCTGGACTCCAACACCTGCTCTGCTCGCCCTCTGCAAGTCCCCCTGCCTCCTGGGACGGACACCTGGCCGCCTGGCACACGGGCGTGGCCCCTGAGGATGCCCGTCCAGGTCCTGCAGCTCCCAGGTCAGAGAACGTGACAGATTCCACCAGATTCCCAAGAGCGGGGGACGCCGTGGCCGCTGGGCAGGGTCGGTGACGCACCTGTGCCCCAGCCAGGGGTGTGGCACCCCAAGCAATTCCACGGAACCTCTGAGCCCTCAGTAATTACCCGATGAACTTACCACTCACTCGCAGCAATTAGCTGGGAGCTAATTTGCCTCCCCGCTCCCCGCGGGAAAGGAAGACAGAGGGAACCCCAGGCCCCAGGCCCTGCCAGGGGTGCGGTCTTCCAGGTAATCACCCTGCGGGGGGGGGGGGGTTTCTGGCTGATCACCCCATGGCTTCTCTCTGCTCCTCCAGGCCTGGGAGACAGGAACGCATCCCACCCAGTGGCAGGGCCTGAGACCGCACCCCTGGCTGTCAGAGGTGGTACCGTTATGGACACCCTCGCCCCAGCTGGTGTGGCTCAGTGGATAGAGCGTCTGCCCACAGACTGAAGGGTCCCGGATTCGATTCCGGTCCAGGGCCCGTAGCTCATTTGCAGGCTGAATCCCCAGCCCCGGTCGGGGCACATGCAGGAGGCAACCGATAGATGTGTCTCCCTCACATCGATGTTTCTCTTTCTCTGCCTCTCCCCTTCCTTTCACTCTCTCTAAAAA